TTGCCAATCTGAGTGGAAATTAGACGAGTCAGTCTGTCCCACTATGTATTTACAGTGCATGACCGATCTCATGAAATGTTAGCCAATATAGTGAAGTCTGTTTTCGATTAGAAAGGATTAACTAGGCGGGATTGTAATATTGCCTAACATGCAAAGTAAAGCTACGGCATATCGGACTCAACAGGATGTCGGCTTTTAAATGAATCCATTTTGACTTACTGCAGAAACTGAACTCGTTGAAAAATGACTGCATATGTAGCATGCACATATCCTATTTACTTTCGATGGTCTTACAAATTAAAAGATACTTTATAGAAAATGTGCACAACCATATGTTTTATTTTACTGATTTTGTTTCGTTTCATTCAAAGGTACTCTAGCATATGGACTGGCTTAGGGACTGTCCATGCGCCTCAAGTTCCTAACCGCTGAGTCATACACTACGGTCACATCGTCAGCACAATTACTGGACAAACTCAACGGGGTAAGACTCCATCCAACTAGGGTCATGGTATCTTTTTATGTTACGCCCATATTTACTTTTATAAATCAGGACCTATCAACTGAGACAATCGAGCTGCTTCTACAAAGCAAACATGATGGAACGGAGTATCATCTTGGACGCGCCCAAGTCCTTCAGCTCCTGAACGCCTGTCTCAGGACGTACTTCAACTTTGACGGGACAATCTATAAACAGGTTAAGGGCACACCATTGGGTTCGCCGATTTCAGGATTGATCGCCGAGACGGTCCTGCAACAAACAGAGTCACTGGTCTTTCTACATCACAAACCAAAATTTTGGGCCGGTATGTGGATGATACCTTCGTCGTTATCGGCCGGAATCAACTGCTGACATTCAAGGAACATCTGAATGCGGTCTCACCGGACATACAATTTACGATGGAGGAGGACGAGAAAAACCAGCCGGCCTTCCTGGATGTCGTCGTATGCCACAACGTTTGTGGTGGACTAAAGACCAAATTGTTCTGTAAAGCGACAAATACCATGCAAGTACTAAACTTCAACAGCAACCACCCAATCAGTCACAAATCCAGTTGTGTACGGACACTCTATCGCCATGTCGAAACGCACTGCATTGAGCTGAACGACAAGATTGCCGAATTACAATAACTCCGACGGATCTTCAACGCCAGTGGCTGCCCGCGCAACGTCGTCAACCACTGCACGCGCAAAAAGGGACAAAAGGCCTAACCACACGGACACCGAATTTTAGTAAGCGCTTCCATATGTCAAGAACGTTTCGGGAGCTTTCAGACACCTTCCCGCACCACCTTTGGTTGAAGTTGCAAAGAGACCCATGCAACTACCAGGCGTCAGAAAATGAAAACAAGAGGCGCACAGACATGACAGTAAACGTCTGGAGTCGTTTATCGGATGTAATGCAGTTGCGGACAAAGCAACTATCTCGGAGAAACCGGAAGACATATCCGAACGCAAATTCTCGATCATGCTGCAGCCGTGAGGAGAAATGACGCCTGCTGTCAAGTTTCGGCTCATTCGACGAGATCTGGACATACATTCTGATTCGACGAGACTGACGTTCGCGCTAGGGGCGAAAACCGCGTGAGCCAGGAGCTGTTTGAAACACGGTTCACTGGTCCCCAGTACATTAAACAGTGCAACGACCCTCCCCTTCCATACTCGGTGCGAAGACCTCGCCTAGGCTGGGTAACTATCCATGCGGGAAGCGCACAGGTGAACACTGTTCCCAACGCTAGGGTCGGTCGATCAGATGGTCGAGCAATCATCACACAAACATTCAACGCACGTGGTGAATTCCAGACGTTGCAGTACGTTGGGCAAGCAACTTGACCCAAATGTGATTAGACTCGCCTTATCCGACGGGCCTCGTAGCTCAAATCGTTAAAGCATTGGCTGTACTAGAGCCTTCCACTTACTGCGTGTGCTACAATCCCACGGAGATTCCCAGTGTTTCACAGTTGGGTCAATGTGAATTATCTTACATTAAGTTAGCACCAGATTGTTCAAGACGATATTGTGTAGCTGGTCTTTTATCGATCCTTTCTTCAAAATAAAATTGTTAAAATTTATATATGAACATATGATTCCCAATTTCCATAAAGTGACTACTGGATGCTTTTCCTGTTGGCAAGATCGAGATCTTTATTTGATTGAATAATATAAAATGACTTGACAAGGTCTAGGTCGTTAATTTTCCCGAGTTTCTGTGCAGAGAGCATTTGGCGAGCTTTCTGGCACACTCCACTTATGCAGTAATGCAGTGCTATAAAAGTACGTTTAAGAATTGTTAACGGTTTTAAGTAGAAATGAATTGCTTCTGAATGGCGCATTTTAAAAAAATGAATATTTTTTACAAAAATGGGAGAGTAAACCGCTGTCAGGTTTGATTCCTTTTCACGCGGTCTTAAAAACTGTAAGTTGGATTCACTTGATTGATTGTGGTTATTGCTTTTTTGACGACGGCAGTCATTGGCTTTGTAGTCGTTCTCTCCCTTGTTTGCCTAATACGCATCCTCACTTAGCGTTTCAGTCGGATTATCCTTCTTCAGCTGAAAAAGGAAGGTCAAAATGCTTCATAAAAATAACCAGGCGAATACATGGGCCATCAATATACTTGGTCCTAAGGTTACAACCGACCATATTTCTTATATCTGCCTAATAGGAGAAAGGATTTTTCATTGTAAACATAGCCGTCCAGAAGGAACGATGAATTACAGTTTTGTTTTCCTGATAATCCGTCCAAAAAATTTTATTTCCAATTTGCACTTCACACTCGATAATGTACGTTACACAGACGCAATACGATAATTATCTGGTTCACCTTATGAAATGTCAGCCACCCTTCTGGAGGTATATTTGATTACAAATAAATCCGCGGAAACAAGTTAATAACTTATATAAAATGACGTTTTCGTAGAGCTTTGATGCCATCTTGAATTAAAGTACATTTTAGAGGGCAAGAACTATGATTTTTTTCGCCGATAGTTGGTTTAGAAATTAACTTTTTTCGCCAATTGTAATTCCGATCAAAGAGTGCCTTTTAATTTAAAGAAAACCCATTTTAATAATGCGCCTTTTGAGAATACGAAATATTTATTCACACAGACTTCTCTCTGTTTAGATACGATTGGCGCTTATGGATTATACAATGTGGTCTATATTTAGTAAGGTATATTTATAATACACATACATCATCTTCAAAATAGATTTGAAAACCATGAATTTTTAATAATGGAAAAATTGTCGGTGAACATTTTGGTAACTACAGCGCCAGTGAGATCACATGTTAGGCTACGCAGGTCGAAGTTGCAAATGTTTTCAAAAAGTCAAAAGATTTTCCCTCTTTGATTAAATAGTTAGGAAATAAATGATTTTCTATTAAATGAATGCAAAAAATACCCATACCCATATTTCCGTTAAATTTTTACATTATTATAGACTCTTAAAACCTGTGAATCAGTTCGTGCTACGTACGTTGCCATGTTTTGATATTTGCAGTTTTAACAGGCAACAGCGATAAAATTTAGTATCAGTATCAGTATCAGTTTATTAAGGGAAATATAGGCAAGCGCCTTTGAACTCCCTCTTGGTTACAAGTCGTCGGAGAAAAACATTGATAAATGGGAAGGTGAAAAAGGGATTTTGTACATACTCGCGGACAGGTGGCAGCTAGTCGAAAGAGAGTAATTATTAATGGTTACTTACTAATTACAAGTAGTATAAACACGTATAACATGGTACCAGGTTATGTGAGTGGATGTGGTGGTGGTAATTTGGAAGCTTGATGCAGGTCAAGTCTACACTTGAAGGAGTTCACACAGGAGGAGGTTACAACATCGGAAGGCAGGCCATTCCAGGCTGCAACCACTCTGTTACTGAAAAAGGACTTTCGCCCATTGGTTCTTGATTTCCCTGCGCGTAGTTTTAGGGGATGACCGCGCAAAGTGGGCGTGTTAGCTTGGTGAAATAATCAGTGGGATCTAAACAACAGTCTAGGCCGTTGATAATGCGAAATGTTAGTATAAGGTCACCACGTAATTGCCTGTAGGAAAGGGGAAAGAGGTTGAGGATTGACAGTCTGGTTTCATAGGGCAGTGCTCCCAGACCTTGTGTCATTTTGGTCGCCCGTCTCTGGACCTTCTCCAAGACGGTATAATCCTTGGCAGTCCAGGGTCTCCACGCCTGTATGGCGTATTCTAGATGAGGTCGCACGAAGGTGCCAAATATTTTGGAAAAGTAGTCAGGGTCAAATCCCATAAATGCTCGCCTAATGAATTGCAATGTGGCCGTAGCCGATTTAGCCGCCTTCGCGCAGTGCAGTGTTGGTTTGAGTGAACATGAGCAGCCTGATGTGACTTGAATACTTGCAATTATGTTGCACAACGTTCGATGTCTCAATCTCACTTAAGTAATATGTTGTAGTCAAAAACACCCTTCTGATTTGTGGTTAACAGATCGTGAAATAGGCGACACAATTGTTTGGCACTTTTATGACCTTCACTCGTAAGCTTTTGAGATAATTTTTTTCGCATGGTAGGAGCAAAACCCCCTAATTTTGGCAAATCAATCGAACATCGTTTGAACTCGCAAACTGTTTGTGTTTATTTAGATCGAATGCTTAATGTAGACTGCTGAGAGTTAGAATGTGATTTTCAACTATGTAGTCAAACTTTTAGGAAAACTGCTTTTTATTTCATCTGACAGGTTTGGGCATATAACCTCTTTAACCTGCAGCTTAACATGACAAGCAGTTGAAATTCTCCATCAAAACGATCTTCATTTTTCAACGCGAGCTACGCCTTTCAATAAAAAAATTTAGTGCTTTCAATGTGGTCGTCCAAGTGTAACTGGTTTTGTGTAGGTGATGAGTGGGTGTTCATATATCAATCCCTTCACTTAATTCGTTGCAATGTTTGCCGACAGCACCGGCCCTCCTGCCGACCGGGTTGAATTCGGATACAGCTATTTTGCCCGTAAATATTATTTTTTATCCTAAACTAAGCGACTTTATTGTTAAACATTAAAATTTCAAAACGGTAGCAGATTTGTAAAAGAGTCGACCTCGAAAATGACCGCGATTGGTCGGCAGCATAACCTTGGATACGCTGAAAAATAAAAAGAAATCTTCGGGACTTACTTGAGTTTCTTTACTGCCTGGAGGGTTACGCAGAACAAGCAACAGGGGTGCGTACGCAACAGTCACAATTGCAAGGCCCCAGAGAGTCCTGGAAATACAAAAGCATGACTAGGCATTGAGGAGTTTTTTTCAATTTAACGACACATGATAGGTTTTATCTGAACAGAAAATAAGGAGACCTCGCACACGACCTGCGACAGGCAATTGCTTTCATCGGTACCCGTAATAAGTAGAACGTTAATCATCGCGATTTGTTATTTATATCATATCTTAGTCAGCCTAGTCGAAAGTCGTCTGGGTCGACGGAAGAATTGGAGTGTTTACATAACTGCCCCGCAAACTACTACTTTTTACTAAGCTTAAGCAAGAATAAATGGTTAAGAAACACTAAACATGCAAACGCAGGTTTGAGGGCTGAATGGAGGACCAGATTGATGAAACAATGGTTAGTCGTAGGAAGTATAACGTCGGACGTATGCAACGGCTGTACTGGATTGTCGGCATGTACGTTGCCCGCCGGTAGAATACAATCTTTGATCAAGTCAGCCACAGTAGTTGGTCCGCTCTGAGGCCTGACATTAAGAAGAGGGTTGCGTCCGGTAGCATAAAGGTTACTGACGAATGAAAGGCGTATAGTGCCCACGCTGCAGAAGGCTTCCAGCCCTTTACGGTCTACCATTCCCGCAGTTTCGTTGACGCGGAAACTGGTCGGCACACAAACGCCATTGAGGACTACTGGAGCCGCCTCAAAAGGACACTGCGCGAAAATAGGCCGGTCTACGGTTGGGCTTTGGATGAAACCCAATATAGAATATGGTACAGCCTTGACCGCTGTGCTCCTGATATCGCCAGGAATATTTTTATGGGACATCTTGCGGAGACATATCCCGTTAGACCTAACTTCCAATTATGAATTATCGTTGACCGCTGATAATGCCTCTTGCAGATAACCCCCTTTAACTGAAAGTCTCTTCGTTTTTTTTCTGCAGTATACTTATTTCTGTCTTGGTTTTTGCGCATCCGCAATCGTTGACGTGTGCATTTCAAGAGGAAAGGGCAAGCACAGCGAAACAGCGCCGCCAAGGTTACTACAACAACTAGCAGACGGCGTAAAGAAAACAACTTCGTATGACGATGCGGAGACGTAACAGACGGCATCACTGCTGTACAAACTAAAACGTTGCATGTCTACGACAGGCTGGTAGGAAAAGCAACTCATGGAAAGGTTACGCGAAGCCGACGGGGTGCGCGCTGGGGGCGGGGTGAGGGAAGATGGACGCGTACTACTTCTGCTTTACGAAAAAATTCCGTGTGTGGATGGATGTCTGAAAGCAATGAGATCGCTGGACGGAGAGCATATACAAATGCAGGACAACGTAACGTAGGTCTCCAGGTAAAATTAGTAGTACTCGTCGATAACCAGAGGTGCTCGTGTAGGACTACGGTAACTAAACAGCTAACCCCGACGCTGTAGACGCTAAGACAACGAAATTCAACTACAGGATGCTGCGCAAGACATGGGAAGAATAGTCTAAACGATCCGCACGATGTCAGCAGACGTAAATCCGTAGTACGCGTGGTTAACAAAGGATTTCGATATGTCGGTGCAGGCAACTCTTTTCGGGTCGCCGCGATAATGCAGGCCAGCCGGTGTGGAGAAAGTTAATTTCGCAGTACTCATCGTTAATGCAAGGTAGCCCTGCAGGGGTGCAGTGACAAAAGATATATGAGAACACCGATCTAGACGCTGAGGCAACTGGATTTAATCAAACGTACCTGGGGATTGTCACTCATGTATACGGTAAGCGAAATTAACGCTGCTTGGCGTGGGGAATCAGCTCAACACCGTAGTATGAACCTTTTGCTAAAGATTTTCCTGTGGATGTGCAGTGACTATAACGGGCAACACTGCAGTGGTACACGAAAGATTTCCCTGTGACAGTGTAGTTACTAAACAGAAGACGGCACTGCTATAGACGCTGAAGTAACACAGCTCAACCGGAGTGCGGCCAAATGGAGGAAAGACTACCCGAAGCCAGTAATGGTAACCCCGCAGTACTAGTTGTTAACACAAGATCTCCGAGTAGGTGTGTAGTCACGCTAAGGTCAACGCCGCATACGAAAGCTTTCCTTGTAGGGATGCAGTGAATAAAGGGATAACACAGCTGTGGTTTACAACTGATTTTCGTGTGACGGTTCAACGACTAAACTGAAAACAGCTGGGTTCTCCACGCTTAAGTAAAGCAGGTCAACCTGAGTGCGCTACGGTTGGGAAATTGACATAAGACTAACCAAAGCTAACGATGTGGAGGAAGATATCCCCGTAGTACTCGTTTGTAACGCAAGATTTCCGGGAATGAATCTAGTGGCAAATGATGACAGCACTATTCTGGACGCTAAAGCAATGAAATTTAGCCGAACGAAGCTTGAAATGGTTACTCACATGCACAATAACCGAAATTAGCGCTGGTTTGGAGGGGAGGTGGGCTCAGCACCGTAGTGCGAACCGTTTACGAACGATTTCCGTGTTGGGGACTGCAGTGACTAACGCGAGCGGCATTGCAGTGGCACTCAAAAGATTTCCGTGTTACAGTGCGGTCAGTAAGCAAAAGACAGCAACGTTCTAGACGCTGAGGTCAACGCCGAAGTACTCGCCATCTACTAAATATTTCCGCGTAGGAATGCAGTGACTAAAGGCATAGCGTTGCAGGTCAGTCACGCAGTATTCGCCATTTACGAAAGGTGTTCGTGCAGAGTAGATGTACAGCTGGTACGTGGTAAACCAAAGCTACATTGTGGATTTCAGTAGACAGTGATTTGTAATCTAAAGCTCGTCGTCAAACAATGTTATCGGCAACTGAAAGATGCTCCTATGGGTTCGCCCATATCTGTCGTTCTAGCAGAAGCCATAATCCAGACACCCGAGTATATAGACCTTCCTAAAATTAACCCAAAACTATGGCTGCGCTATGTTGATGACACATCTGTCACTGTCAAGAGAAACCAATTAGACCGGATTCACACGAGTCTTAACTCCGCATTTCCAGGAATCAAGTTCCCTTTCGAAATAGAGGTTTCTGGACAACTTCTATTTCTGGATGTCCTCGTGTGCCGAAAAACTGATGAATTTCTTCACACTTCAGTTTGTCTCAAAGAGACATACTCAGACGTCATCTTACATTTTGAGAGTAACCATCCTATTTCTCACAAGAGGAGTACTGTCTACAGCCCGTTTAAGCGAGCCAAGACACACTGTTCTGATGAAGAAAGTTATCAGGCAGAAATGAAAAAACTTTTTAAATTATTTTCTCACAACGGGTACCCGCGCCACTATGTACGTCATTGCAATGTTCAAAGGTGGCTAAGTCGGCGATGTGCATTCTATACCTCGTCAAACGGGCTTTCTCCTCCTTTGATGAAGACTGCTTCGCCAAGATCTTTCATACTTTCGTACGACCGCATCTGGAGTTTGCTATCCAAGCATGGGGACCCTGGACCGCTAAAGACTTCGGCATACTCGAATAAGTTCCACGGCAAGTAAAGAAACTTGTATCTGGGCAGTGGTCATTACCCAACGAAACACGTTTAGCTAATATTGCCCTCTTACCTTTGAGCTACAGACAGCTACGTGGAGACTAGATACAAGCTTTCCGCATCGTGCGTAATCAGGGCTGCTGCCGCGCATCAGTAGATTTCTTCGACTTGGCGACTACGACTAACATAAGAGGCCATGCTCTCAAACTGCGTGAGACTGGCGCCCGGTTAAACTCACAAAAGTTCTTCTTCTCCAACAGAGTGGTTGCAGCTTGGAATGCCTTGCCTGAGGATGTTGTTATGTCGGTATTCGTATATACTTTTAAACGGAGGCTAGATCAACATTGGAGCGCGAACCACAATAACGCCGGTCTACCGCCACCTTGATAGTCAGCATTCATAATTTAGTGTTATGACGATGCTACTACCAACATTTAAGTAACATGGGTTTAAAAAAAATATTAATTTGGACCAAGTCGCACACCGCTGCTCGCATTCACCACGATGCCTGTAGACTAAAAAAAAATTTACTTCTTTTCCCGTATCTTAAGAGTGATTTAACTGTCCGTTGTATTTTATCAATAAAGAAAGTTAATGTGCCTCTAAATTCTGTTAACGCATGACATTCTGTGTTCATCTATACAGTTTTTCCTATTCCCCTCGCATTTCTTTCATGTTACTTCCTTTCCATTTCATCCATATACTTTCTCTGGATGTAACCAATAGGGATTTCAAAGGTACACACCTACTTTCCCTGAAATATACTGATACTGATGTTGATACTTTCAATACAAAGGTATTTCGAAAACAACGACCACCCAGGCACCAAAAGCATTCCCCTGGCGGACCAACCCATCGTCCTAAAACAGCTGACGAAGCATCACAAGCAAGTAGCACACCAACCGTCAACCACCTTGCGTAAACAGTTTGTACACCCTAAGGAGAGGGTTGGCTATCTTGATAGAAAAGCTGTTGTCTGCAAAACACCATGTTCCACTTGTGATGCCGTCTGTTGTGGCCAATCTGCCTCTACCCGCATATATGAGCATCAGTTAGCGATGAAGAGACGAGATCATCTATCCCAGGTGGCAATGCACACACTGGACACTGGACACACGCGCATTGTTGACGCCTGCTCATTCAGGTAATGTCGCAAATTACTGGAGGCATTGCACTGATGTGGCATGCAACAATCTTCATATCAATGTAGATGTCACATACAAATTTCTCAATGGACAAATAAAAGCGAACGCAACCAATGGCGAGCAGATGACGAAAAAAAACCGGCGTGCCGGGTGCGGGTCGTAAAAACCCCTGTAAAGCATTTGTTTGGTAGCGCCTTGTTTTACAGTCGCACCCATCATGAAACATTGCTTCCACGCATGGTCTCTGAGAGTCGCTCCAACGCCCCTTTTCCGACGTCTGGCTCTCAGTCAACGGGTGCGACCACTGCGCAAACGCGCAAACATTTCTATCACGCACGGTCACATCCCAGGGGACGTTTTTGTCCGGTTACGATAGGTCACGGCTGGGATCACCACCAGAGGCCACGGTGTGGCGCATTAACTGGCGTTGATTTTCATTGGAAGGCGGGCACTTACTGATCGTGCTACTAAACCCAGTGTCCCCGTTGTGTCTTGGGGACCTGTCTTGAGCCCCGCTAGCAGCCGCACAACGACGCGTTTTAAATGGGCGAAATGGTATAGCCGATAAAGCTAGGGGAGTCTGGAATGGGCATTTTTGGCTCAATAGCCGTCCTCAGCCAGTCTTATACAAACCCCAAAGTGTGAAATATCTGGACCTCGATTCCGCGACCTGTTGGGTTTTCTCCCTGATCCGCTGTGCCTGCTCATTATGCGGCCTTAGAATCAGTCTATGGATTACCCAATCACGCGCTAAACACTCGGCTATAACTTTATAATGCTCACATCCTCACATGTCAGACCGATGTGAATAGCACACCGCAAACTTCGCCCTTAAAAGGGAATTCTCGTCCTGAAAACTGTAAACTCGCGGTAACCTCCTCGGTGTACAGAGTAAGTCGAGTCTCACTGCTTTTTGACTTCTGTCATCATGCGGGATGGACTTACTTTGTGTGGCTAAAGTTGATCTGACCACCTGGAACCCTCACACACGCATTGCCTCACAAGTCTCATAACATCGGGATACCTCATTAGTGCACTGCCTTTTAGATCTCATGACAGTCTCATACCCTGGCATTAGACATAAGAAGAACTACTCGCCAGGACAGTTATTTTGGGTAAAATTTATTCAGGCCATGCAGGCAAGGTAGAAAGCGTCGCTCCAATATACCAAGTATCACTGACCATATTTAACGTGTGTTACGTAATACAGTACCACATTTATGGGTGTATATTTCGGCCGCTGCAAACAACGAACCACTGGAAACAGTAGTACAAGTGAACCCTATTTGAGCGCCGATATCACTTAATGTGCTTTTTAATCCTTATATGAAGACCACTCTTAAGAGACCGCAAAGTGCACTGATGGAAAGGTAGAGAAGTTTCGAAATGTTACGTACAGCTTCGAAGAAAGAAGCCCGAGTGTCAGTTCCTTGTAAATATGTAATTCGACTCCAATAAACCATAACAGTTTGCAATTAAAGCGCTTACGCATTTACTATAAAAGTATCATTTGCTTTTTTGTCGTATATTACAAGCACTACACGTGCAATCCTGTTAACTGGAGGTTATAACGTCTACGTAAAAAATTCATCAGTTTGACATTTAATGACAATGACATATATGTCTAACAAGTGCGAATCATCGTATACCTCATAAAGTAAATGCTGGAGTCGTTTCTCACACTTCTAAGATGCTCGCCTTAAACGCATACGTTAAAAAAATTTAAAGGTCGACAGCAAAGTCATATTACTTACCAACTGAAACCAACGGTTTGAACTAGACTCCCGCTGATTACGGGCCCTACGATGGGAACGGATGAAATTAAGAGCGAAAAACGAGGCTGAAAAAGCAGAAGTGATGAAGGCGACATAATCACTTAAACAAGTTCCGTTTTTGCGCGCCACTTCAGACTCCTGCTCTAATGAAACATTAGAGACGTGCCCAAGGGACTGCAGTATTTATGTGACTCGATGAAATCTGACGATGCATTTGAATTCGACATGGCGCAAATTCTCGCTAGATATGACAGTCACGTGGGCCGTGATTTGCTTTACTCATTATGCACTGCCTCTAGTCTATTTACAAGTGCAATGACCATCGCCTTTTTATATTCGGTGCTGCAACCTAGCCTAGGCGGAGTAATTAGCACCAAGGGGAGATCAAAGCGGATCCTCGGTGGGCCAGATTGTCCAGCAATCATCACACCAACAGCCAAGATCCGTGACACAATGGCGGCAATTAACGACCATAATTTCGTCCATCGAACGACCGAAACACCACGTACAACAGTCCCTGGTGATCGGGGATCCACGAATTGCTAAAGGTATGCGGACTGCTTCTTGTACATGAACTGCCAGTATCGATTGTTGTCTGTGAGGATTGTTGAAAGAAGGAATACGAAATGGCAGGCAAATTTAACCCTTGCTTCAGCAATCGCGTCTTCTTCTACGCAGGCGCTAACTTATTTGATGAACGCATAAGGTGTCTCTTAGTTTGGCATGCAGTTTGATGGGCATTCAGCAATGGAGTTAGAAATATCTGAAAGCACAGGAGTGGCGTGTATAGAGGCACACTAAGTGACCGATCTTGTATTTGGTCATTATCGCGTTTATCGTCTTCCTTCTGAATTTGATAGATCACAGTTAAATGGATGTGGTTGTTTACTGTTTTTGTTTACTCCTGAGGCCGTAGCTACTTTATTGTCCGGCGCTTAGCTATCCAGTTAAAAGTCCAATTAAAGAGCGTACGTATAGTGATAGCATTTTCCATGCGGAAAATTTTAACATGATTTTTGCGCAAGGTGATAGAGAGGTGTACACAAACCCGCGGTCTAAACAAAATAATTATCGAGTTTTATACAGAATCGAAATGTGGTACAACATAAATGATTTTCCGGCACTAAATCAGGCAAGGCCATGAAATTAGACTAATTGCAGTTACCAATGGCAAAGGCGCAGCAAAAGGCAGCATCAGCGATTCCGTAAACGCTGCCGTAGACTGCAACGTGACGAAGATCCACCAAGGAGCCCATTTCTGGCATCAGTGAAGCTTCTAGCAGGCCTAAAATCAGGCGAAGGCGCCATTTAACCTGACTGACCCGCATTGTTGCTAATCTACTATCGTGTATAAAGGTAACCTTCACATCCTAAAAGTCAAATAGCGGGTGTATTGGATTTATCATGGCTTTCACCAACAGTAGAATAAAGTGGGTTTTATGCTTGCGCGTTCTCATGGGTAGTTGACGCAGAGGTTTCTCCGATGCCTTAAAAGTCACTCTTCGTTTTAGGGCAGCGGAGACCTCTACCTGAGGCTAAAACCTCAAAGCGACCTTAAAATTTTAATGCAGAAAACAGTACCTGGGGTTTAACTTATGCAATGCGTTGACTATATCCCTGTGGGTAGGATTTCAAGAAGTTTTATATATGCTTGAACTGTTCCCATGTATTTAGGAAGCAAGTTTTGCATTTATGGCTTGCAGGGAAGGTAGAGGAAGTTAAACAAACTACGATATGCAGACACAGGTGCAACGCCAGTGTCTGGAGGTAAACAGAGAGAAGAAGCACAAAGAAAATTAAAGTGGACTCGCTGCTAAGTAGCGCGTGCAGTTTAACGGTTATCTGTGATCTACATTTCGGGTTTGCCATTCACTGTCTTAAAATCAGAACGACTCGACGTAACAATGACATTTGTCTTTGTTTAGTCTACGAATAAGTACCTGCGACCCAGGCAGATGTCGCGAATGGAGTGTATGCTGTTAAAACGCGACCAACTTTCAAAAACTTTGCTCGTATACCTTTCGGTTCAGACATAAAGTCTGTGGCCATTAATTCATTAATTAAATTATGCTCGTGTGTTTTTAGTTGTTCCGTTATTTTGTAGTATAGAAATCTGACATGAAAAAATATGCATACGGCATAATGTACGTCAGGGTTTCACTCACCGGCGCCAACTCCAAGTCCAAAAACGGGAGCGAATAAGTGAGCCACCGTCTGAGTAAAGGGCACCTAGATACGATTAAAAAATTTCAGTTGTTTAGTATTTTCCTGAAAATAACACTTTGTTCCATCAGGAAGCATCATCAACCCAGGGTTCTTATCTAAGACGTTTATCTGCTTTATCACTCTTGTGCTTTATTTAGGTTCACAAATATATTTAAAAAGAAATCACTGTTTACGATGTGCTTAATATTCGATAACTCCAGACGCATCTTTATCGATCGTTCTGAAGGCAAGCAGAAGATTCCGTTAGTTCATCATTATTATGATAACCTAATATCCGTTTAAATGTTTGCCGTAGAAAAAGCTTCATATGCGGCAAAATCCTTCTCTCAGTATCTCCCTACGTGGTGCGCTTGTACGTAGAGGAATACTGACCTAACAAGTTTTGTTCCGTCCATTCGAAATCGTACGTGCTCTCTTTTCTCCTGCATCGTTTAAGGATTATTTGGAATAAATACATATGTACAGCCATCGTATGAGCTTTTCAATCAGTACGCGATTTCTTCAAATTTATGTATATTTACGCGTGTGTTTGAGGTAAAGGTATAGAAATCGGAATCTACGACAATTGCATTAGTCAAACCTAAATTTAAGCTACGACATGTAGACGACACATTAGTTGTCGTAACAGTTTACTAACGGTATACGCTCTACAACACCATTAACTTAACATATCGTAATTTTAATATCCTTCCGAGAAAATGTTGACAAAAACGGGCATTCCTGTATGTACTCATACATGAATAGGCTCCCGAAGAGTAGCATATATGTATCTGTTTGTTGTAAAGGAATTTGTACAAAAGTCATTCTACAGTAAGAAGACAATGACGCAGTGTCTTAAAAGCGGAGTATCCTTATAACAAGTTAACAACAGATTTTAAGTGGTTACCTGTTTTAGTACATTCTCGCGAAGTTCTGCGGCAACACGGAAACAAGCGTCAAAATTGAATCCTTTAGAGATTCCTATTTTCTTGAAAGCGCCTTTATGTTTTCAGTTTACGTGTAAATGTATAAACTCAGTGTCTCCTAAAAAGGCAAGCGAAACTGGAATGACCATTTCAAGATTACCGGCCGTCATAAGCCGACCACACCTTAACGCAGGTTGGCAATCGTGAGATTCGAACACGCTCGAAAAAAGATGCGGTCGCTAGAACAAGAAACATGCCAAGCTGACCTATCGGATTTGTGTTCAAACACGTCATCGGTTACGGTCATAGAGGATATTGGCGGCGCAATGTCATTTTGTCTTCGTTTTCTTTGCTGCGACTTTTCCTAATCAGAATAATTGGTCACGCGGCAGGGGCATGGGCGACCAACAATTTTGGCATTTTGAAACTTGAATAAATAGCTGGGTCCCATTGAATAAGACGCCACCTAAGCTTCCCCCACTGCTGCTGCGTGCTCGATCATCCGAGTTTATGGTAATCTCGTAGTTTTTCCGACGTGGTTGCTATATTCAAAACTGCATGATTATATCTGCGCGTTGAGACCCATTGCACTTAAACGGAATGCAAGTTTGCTGAATTCAAATATTTTTCACGGACACTTGGAAATAATGTTTGCAGGCGAGACTTTGTCAACCAGGGCATATTCAACTGACTTTAAATTTTGACGAGTTCTGTGTTATGGGAAGGGCATCTTGAAATCCGTCAGTCGGCTTCTTACAACACTTGGATTTGGATTGCACAAAGGCCAAAAGCAACCATCAGACGCAACGTCCGGAGACCGAAAGACCCACTGCCACATCAGTAACGTCGGGAGCTGCTTGCCGAATACGGTGTGATTGCAGACAGAACACCTACGTCGGCGAAACTGGGAGATTACCCCGTAAGGCGGATAAACGAGCACGCAGCAGGAGGGGAAGGAAAGACTGTAACTCGCACATGACGGATTTTCCGACGGAACCCAAACATGTTTTAAAGTTTTAGAAGATCGAAATCTTCACAAGAAGTGACAACCGCGCGAACTGCTAGCTGCTTGAATAATGGCTCTCAAGACCGCAACCGCTTGTTGCTGAAACATTCCCTGCGCAGCGATATCAGTCATATGTGAAGGGCGCGGGCCAACGCTTAGTCCAGTGACGGCAGGCCACAGTTCCGAGCAATCATCGCGCCAACAGCCAACTCGAATAATGAAATGGTGGCCACTGACGAATCGACGCAAATTGCCTATTACAAGCCCTAGCTGTGGTCGTGAGAGGTGTACGCATGTGGCCTGACGACTGCTTGGCACTTTTTAAAGTGCATCTCTTGTGCCTCCGCTACGGCTATCTGCGACTGTCTCTGATGATAGGTCACAGTGAGAACCCAAAAAGTCAGACTGATAAACTGCTTGGTCCTATGATCGCAATGCCTTCTTCTGTAACCGGAAATTGTCATTTCAGTCCTCCAGCCGTTGCTCTTAGTCTTTCGCGTATATCAGTGATCGCATTGCCTATCTGCGACTGTCTCTGACGATGTGACCGAGTGAGTATCCAAAACGTAAGACTAATAAACTTTTTGTTCTCATGATCACACTGCCTTCTTCTGCGGGCAGAAATTGTCATTTTAGTCTTTTAGCCGTTTTCCTTAGTATTCTGCGTATATCAGTGGTCGCATTGCAACTGAATACGAGGCTAAATTTTGGTGAATCAGTACTCAGTGCGACGCGTACCTCTATTGATACGATTGGCAAATAACCTCTATCACATATGCTTACGATTTGTGAATAGTGGATTGCTTTCAAGTGGATGTAGATTTTTCGTAAAACAAATTTTGAGGACCCAACGTAGTTACAAACATAACTTAAGTGAGGTGTTTTAACGATAGCTCGGAGGTCAATTCTGGGGATTACATTCTCAGGACACTTCAGAGCATTTCCCCCCACAATAACTTCGACACCCTTAAATGATTGACAATTGAACATTCAACTCAGACCTCGAAGTTAGTCCAGTTTGTTTTTATACAGTGGCCGACGGATTGGCTAAACGTTTGACTGGATGACCCTTTCGTAATGGGACCTCCGTGGCATGGGCTATCCACACCGACAACCCCTTTGTGCAAGAACCCGGTGTTTTGTGCGGGGAGCCAATGCGAGCATGGCCCGGGCAGATGGCCTGTGTAGTCCTGCCAGAAACTGGCTCTTCGTGAATCGCTTTTGCCACCAGGTCCAGATTACTGAGGACACTGAGTAAGCCTATTATTATTGTCCATTGGTCTATCCGCACATCCCGGCCCCAGCGCCTGCAGCGCTAGGAAGCACGCAGTGAACATCATCAAATATGACGGTCACATGGTAATTTAATCCCGCTGTCTCCAAATGTCCATTTGTCTTGTTTTTGTGAAGATTATGTTATCACTTGCATAGGTTTCAGCTTTATTCGTGGGTTTTAAGCTTCCTGAATGGCTTAAAAGTGTCCCTGATGGACTACTCTTAATACTCTTCTTTGCCAATTTGTATACTGCTCGCAAGTCAACGACTGGAGTGGAATTAATGACCGGCTCCAGCTTACATTATCATAATGTCCATACGCCATCGGACTTCCATGCAATATATTGAGTTCGGGTTTATTCTCAATAAGCACACATTTGCGAGTTCTCGAATAATTGCATTCATGTTAATTTCCGTTTATTTTTATAGCCTCCGAATATTAGCAAACTTACGATGCTTTGGCGACTATGTTTTTCTTGCTAAAATGTCTCCCACTTGTCGGGATTTTCGGCCATTGAGTATGTTACGTTGATTTTCCCCCGTAAACTCTGACAACGTTTAAGCTTACTTTATAGCCTCATGTTTATTTTTTCTGTTGTCAGTCAGAAGCTTGTAGCAAACGATTAATTTACTCAATTTTAAAGATTTCAGGCTTTTACCTACTAACCAGTTCGTACCTATGCCTCTCGTAAGCTGCGTTCGATCAGTCTAAGTATGTTTCGCCCACAGCTTTGGTTAACTTATGCTTTTTCTGAAGAAACCCTGATAAGAAAGATTGATTGGCGTTCAGAAAGGAGACCTGTTACGATCACTTTGATATAAAAATTTTTATACGGAAAGCAATAATGGTACGTAAGACACTAAGACATGAGCTTACTGCAGTTTATGCAGTAGACTTACGCAAACGAGACAAAGGCCGGTGACGATCATTCCCAAAAAGGCCTTTAACCAGTGACGCACGTTGTGGAAAAGCCAACCAACGACGTTTGTGGTGAGAAGATAGGCGAGGCTAGAGGCAAGGAAGACAATTCCCTGTTGCCAGCTGTTTGAATTCATGTTTTTCTTCATCCACATTGGCAGCATGGCCTCCAGCACGGCCATACCAAACGTTCCAAAAGTCAGACCTCCTGCAAACGCCAAAAATCCTTATAAATTATCATCTAGATTGCCTTAAAGTATTTTCAAGCCTGCTTTAACACGCGATTAAGTTTATATTTTTGCCGCGACAGCTAGCTTATTATAGTCGTCCCTAAAGACGAAAATGAGAGGATTTAAGGGCAACAAGAAGACGGGAAATCGGAAGCTACAGCACACGAGGTAAAAAGTCGGCTGTTCTCTAATTTAGCACATGATTCTAAGTAAACGCTGCGCCGTTTGCTTTGTAAAGCATTAACTGATATTATGATGTAGGAATTCTAACAAATTATGGTAAAAATGAACGACTTCTTAATAAGTCGAAGCACAAAGTTCGCAGTGCAAACGGTATGCAGTTAATTAGTTATGTAAAACGCCGACAATCCCCCGATATTACATATGCCCCTAGGTAACCGCTGCGTTGTCTCCTTCGTAAAGCATTTGCTGCTATCATCATGCAAGGGTTCAAACTCATTTATTAAAAAATGAAATATTACCTAATAAATCGATGCCCAAAATTTTCAGAGCAAACGATATGCAAGCAATTAGTTATGTACGTATATGTCCTTGAGTCTGAACGGGCGTACACCGACCCATTGGCTTCCTAAAGCAAACATGCTTTGCCGTTTCTCCTTTGCAGTTATAGGTTGATCGACTTCAGCATAGTAGGTATTTGTCTGTTCGTGACCCCTCTGCCGCATTGGGAGCTTTTTTTGTTTCGAGAAGTCAACTCATATGCGCAAACCCATTTTCAAGTGAATTAATATCCGCTCAGCAAGGAAATACGTTGGCAGTTTGCGAAGGACTGATGAAATTCGCCTCGATGAAAGGCTTATTATCTAGCCAGTGGTCCCTTGTGATGGATCAACTGCATCAGGTGTGTAAGCGCATGTTTGGTCCCCCGCCTCAGCTTGTGGTCAGGGTTATGATTGGTTGAATTAAGTCCAGATAAGTCCTGCACAGTTCTTTATCAACCTACTACCCGTATATGTAGTCTGCTTACTGTTATTATGGCAACTTCGGCCTGGTAGCTTGTTTTCTGCTTGTGACCGATAGATTTCAAACACACTTTTTTCGCTTATTCTCATTGTTATATACAGTTGTTGGGCTAACGCATGAAATGTCAAACAAAACTCCGAAATTCGTTTTCGGTTCGAAAATATTAATTAAGTTGGGTTGCAAATCTAACCAGCCTGCAGTATAATTCTATAATAATGCAGTTACCTAAGGATGCCAGCTGTCGAACGAACTTACTTCGTACTGCATGTAAGAACTACATCATAAAAATGACTGCCTATGCTGCGCGAATTTTTCTTATTCATTTTCGATGCCCTAAAATTTCAACTATATTTTATAGAAACAATGCATAAAAAGATTCATTCGTTCACTCATGCGGTAGCCAAATAGCACTTATTGTACTTTTATACTCAAATGACGGACATAATTCGTCCTTAAATTTTTTTATGGTTGTGAGGCCTTTAAATCTTCCAAAAATCCCTGGAAGCTGGCAAACTACCTGACACATGGAAGTTGGCGAACGTCGTACCTATCCACAACGGAGGATCACGGCTATGTCCCACGAACTACCGGCCGGTTAGATTGACATGCATGTACTGCAAAATGATGGAAAAATTACTTCAAAAATCTACTACATCGCTCTATACTTTCCGCTCTCACATCGCCTCGGTTAAACATGGCTTCTGCGAAAAAAGGTCTTGCCTCACAAACCTTCTTTCGTCCCTCGAACACTGGTCAAAGGCCATGGATGAAGGACATCCAGTTGATGTCATTTACGTCGACTTCAGCAAGGCGTTCGATTGCGTTCCACATAAGCGCCTCATTCAAAAGTTGTCAGAAGTAGGGATAAGAGGAAATCTTCTGAACTGGATTAAAGATTTCCTAAACGGACGGCGACAAAAAGTCACTGCGGGAGGCTACTGCTCAGAATGGGCACCTGTTAAGAGTGGAGTCCCACAGGGGCCAGTTCTTGGGCCGCTCCTATTTATTATCTATGTAAATGACCTAGTACGGGAAGTAAAATCGGAAATAGCGCTCTTTGCAGACGATCTTAAACTTTGGAGAGCGATAAAAGACGAAGATGACGTCAAGATACTACACGAGGACGTAGAGAATTTGCACGCATGGAGCGAGAAATGGTGCATGAAATTCACCGTCAAAAATGTACAGTAATGCACGTAGTATCAGCGAAGCGAAGAACAAATGCACCCCCACGACAGTATCTCCTGGACAATCCACCACTTAAAACCGTAGATGTGCAAAAAGATATCGGTGTATTCATTAAAGACGATCCAAGCGTCACCACGGAGTGCTCTAAAGTCGTTGCGCGGGCAATGAGCGCGATACGCAGAACGTTTGTCCACTTGAATAAAGATGTTTTTGGCAAAGTATACGGGACATTTGTGCGGCCGCACCTGGAATATGCGGTGCAGGCTTGGCGGCTGTGGCTTCGGAAGGATATAGATGTCCTTGATGGTGTACAACGGCGTGCTACAAAGGCTGTTCATGGCCTCAAAAACTTCACGTACGAGCAGCGCCTGACGGCCTTGAACATCTATCCCCTCCACTACAGGCAGGACAGAGGTGACCTCATAGCAACGTTCCAGGTGGTAAAAGGACTTAATACGGGTGTCGACTGAGAAACGTTTTTTGAAATGACACCCAAGTCCAATCTCAGACGACATGATTACCAGCTTGAAAGGGAACTGTGCCACACAAATCAACGCTCCTCCTTTTTCTCACAGAGGGTCAGTCACCAATGGAGCTCTTTGCCGGAGTTTGCTGTTAATTCCCCTACCGTGAACATGTTCAAGAGACAACTGGATGCTTACCTGCTGAAAGGCAACCCGAACTGCCGAAGCCTGATCTAATGGATTACTGAAATGACTATAAATATACTACTACCAAGACTTCAACAGATTCTATTTTGTGTGCCAAACTTAGCCCACATTGAAATTTACACAGTCCGAATGGGGAGAACAAAGTTTTTCGCAATTATTTCGCGAATATAATACCCCTTTTGCATTTATGTTAAATTATTAGATTTATGAATTCTCCTTACCTAACTTCAGGCAAAATCTTTGCAATTTCATTATTATCCCTTATATTTGTACCCTCTAAATGGAGTTTTAAGGGCTTCTGTCGCTTACTCCAAATGTACTGACTGAAATATCGTGCAGTGGTCGTTAATAAGTGGCCATGTCTCTGCACCCACCAATGTGGCGTGTATAGTTATCAATATGTATCAATTCCACTGATAAATTTCATGAACGCCATATAGTATCCGCTTAATGCTGTAGAGGAATATGTGGTTTTCCGTACGCGGAAAATATACGGCTTATAGATTATAAACCCTAAATCCAAGTAAAACGGCAGAGCGGGTTAAAATTATTCGGGAATTGAAAAAGATATTGAAAACCGAATATGACCGTTTTTTCGAGTAAGCGATTAGAAGCAGACGTAAGTTTCTACCGCATTAACCAAAGAGTGAATAGTTTTATGCATGTTTTCCATGATGTGTGATCGCACTTTTAGCGGTATCGAAATTGAATGCAAAAAATTCAGGCAACATACGTTGTCACTTTTTTCAGAATTTACTTCGTGCATGCAGCCGAAAGAAATTTCGTTCGAAGGCCGGTATCTTGAGATAAATGAATTTTTATGGAGTAATGCTGCGAGATGATTACGTTCACAGCATTACGGAATTAACCTGTTCGAAACGAAAACGCATTTTGGAATTTCAGTTGATATTTCATGAGTAGGTCCACCTGCTGCTCATATACTTTTCCAATTTGTGCAATTCGTAGGGTTATGAGAGGAGATTTCAAAATAATGAAAAAGATCTAACATATCTAATTGAGTTTATTTGGTTTTATGAAATAAGTGCATTCAACAAAGTTGTATGGCCCATGATCACTCGTTGCATTTATCAGAATTACAGGCGGTTTTCCAAATAGGAAGATAAGAAGGACGTTTAGAGGGCAGGCTTATTCATGAATCGTTGACGGAATACATGAACCAAAAATTTTCTTTAGTGTGACTTATTGCTAGTCAACAGGTATACTACTTTATTTGGATGGACTTTTGAAGCGTTTGATCGATAGACATTCAGGGGTACGAGAATATAGCCAAAAGAACCACTTTCACAGCGTTCACCTTAGGGCGAAATAGCAGTGTGGCACAATTTTTCGCATTAAGTATTAAATTGTGCATAGATAAGTCATTAAAACATATATTTTATTGCTAGACGAGGAAAGGCGGACGGTTATTTGACATTTAAATGACATGACCTGGTACATAGAAAGAGTTTTGTTTAAAACAACAAGAAAAAATCAATGTTGACAGTACCTGCTCCCACGAGGATGTAAGGATCCATTAGGAGACGACAAAGAGGGGTTCCTTTCTCCTCCTCCGGAAGAAACTTCGGCTTGAATACGATTATCTGCAAGACTGATTTTTAAGCAAAGGGCAATGAGTGAGTACTGAATAGAGCATTATATCTCTCATTTCTAGAAAAACCAAAGCTTGACCTAAAGTTTTACCCTTATCTGTTGTTTTCATCGTTTTCTCAACCCAAAAGTGTAAATCAGATTATTTGTTATTGATACCTCTATTCATGCAACGCAGTAAAAAGATGTTTGTTTCACCACTAGCACAAATCAGTCAATTTTATTTCTGGAGGAAACTTTGCAAGTGTACAAAACATGCTTAGCATAAAGGCGTTTTGCAGGACACGTAGATTAAAATTCATCTCAAAAGACCACGCTTCGAAAATACATCAAGGATCCAATAAACGAACTCCTCAAGAGCATTTTGTTATCGAAAAAATCAAAATCTCAACGGCTGTTTTTCTACCACGGTCATTCTTAAAGGCTTATGATACTTTAGAAGGTCAATAAATGGGAGTAACACAGCCAGTTTAATTCTTTAAGTGCAAACATGGTATCTTAGGAATGTAGTCCGTTATCATCGACAGAAGAATAGTGAGCTGTATGCTGTTTACTGTTCACTGAATGTGGGCAGTTCTGCCTGGAGTTGTGCCAACAAATCTGCAGTTCATGCAGTACAGAACGATCGACAGACTTTAAACATCAGATGTTGACCCTACTGAAGGCCCTCTTTTGATTTTCGCCATCCCTCGTCAATTCTTTCGTAGGCGAGGTTTGGTCTCATGGGCTCATTTGATTGACATATCTGACTGGACTAGGAAGGTAAAGTCAGCGCAAGTGGGGCTTGAAACACAGGCAGAGACGTGAATGTGAACCAATATTTGGTGTAACCAAAGACGACATGTGATTACTCTCCCCGCGACACAGCCCCTTGGTGGGCTAAAATGATAAGGAAAGCACAGTCAGGAATGGATGGCCACGAAGGAAACCGCGTGTTAATTCGAATGACATGGTCACTGAAGTAGAACCAACGGAGTTTCAATCTGTCCAAATAATGCCATTAGTAACCCAATCTAGCCAAGCTTTGGATTAAGACAACAAAAAGGCTGCAAGTAGGAAAGCTCAGATAAGCGCATCTGAACTGACACCCTAATGTAACCGAGACACAGTCACTGGCAGAATTAAAACAGTATGAAAGGCACTAACACGAGGTAAACGTAAAGTCAGCGCAATCACACATTCTAACATTTTATAGGGCGTTTCCTATTTGGTATCAATCAGGTGGGACGGCAGGACCAAACTTGCCCTTTTGTGCAGTCACGATAAATCCATGCTCATCATTAAATTACGACGGGGTACGACTAACTTCGGACGATATAATGTGTGTCCGTTTGTATTTAGTGATGGGCTTACTCGACTTGCAGCAAATTGTAGGCATAAACACAAAAAACCACCATCTTACTGCCACACATTGCTGTCAGGACCGACAAAATGAGGAAAGGTGCCCATTTGTTGAAGAAGTGGTAGACAATGCCGGCATAGGTTGGTCCAACTAAAAATACATGAATACGTTAGTGTACATTTCGCCAAATGCAAGCAAATCAAAAGCTTCCTGTACTTTTGGGGACGCTTCAAATCAGACAGCTTCTGGCTATTTATGCTGTGTTGTCAGATTATCAAGATATTCAGATTAAGACAAAGTGATATTTTCAAGAAGAGGCAAAACTCAGTTTCGTATATCGTTTATTTACCTTTTAACATGGTTAAATTGTTCTTTTTTTAGTTGGGTAAGACATTTTTAAGTCTTCAAGTACACTTGCAACCTTACTAAATGACAAATGCAGAACAGAATTCAGTTTAAAACTATTTGCCAAAATATCAGCCAAAGACGCCGACAAAGCTTTGGCGTGTAAGCCATGCCATTTAAATATGGGTGAGTTGAGCAACCGCCTTATCCCTTTCCTCAGTAAAGAATTTATTGCTAAAACAGGACATAGCAAGTTCCATATAATGCCTCACAAAATGCACTTTTTGCTGGCCACCATTTAATACATTATTTTGTTTAAAGTGATTGCGAAGGATTTTCCTTACCAGTTTACTAGGCTATTGGTTCATGCTCCATTTGCGAATATGTGCCATTTTAAATGGGACTTTACGTTGATTTCCCAACAAAACGTTTTTTTTTTTATTTTCATATCTTGCTTTATCACCTTTTTCATTATATAGCGGGCCAGGGTTATACAGAATGCAACCTCTTGCTATGTGCACTTTGTCAAAAGCAATTGCATGCAGGATCACTAAATATCAACCGAAATACTGAAATGCGTCTTTGACTGGGAAAGATAACAAAAGATAAATTATGAAATTAATCACCGCGCAGCATAATCCAAAGATATTTCAGTTGCTTCAGGTTTACGAATTTTTAAACAGCCTCTTTTCGGACGTTTGCAAAAAGCGCTTTCTGTATTAAATGGCCATTTTAGCTGTATGTATGTTTCTCATTAATATCCGATGCCCATCTAAATTTGAATATATCGCATAGAGTGGTAGACAATTTGCACATCCAAGGTTCTTGTTTAATAGAAGACGAAGGCACGATCACTGGGTCGGTGGGTTTGTTGGCCTTAGATTTAGAACGCGAAATGGAGTTCATCACCAGAGACTGCTATAGTGCAGCGACGTGTGAACATTTATATCGTTGTGTGTAGGATCACGAAATATCATTCGAGATTATGAAATGCGTCTTGGACTGTAAAATGTTACATAAGTTGGATAGTGAAATTAATCACGGCGCAGCATAATCCAAAGATATTTCAGTTACTTTAGGATAACGACTTTTTGAGCAACATCTTTTCGTATGGTTGCAAAAAGCACACTCTGTAATAAATGAATATTTCAGCTCTATGAGTGTTTCTTATAGATATTCGATGCCCATCTAAATTAAAATATATCTCATAGAATGAAAGAGAATATGCGCAGCCCAGGTTCTTGGTTAAAAGAAAAGGAAAGCACGATCAATGGAACGGTAGACCTTTTGATTTTGGCTTTCGAACTCGAATTTGAGTTCATCATCAGAGACTGCTAGAGTGCAGCAACGCGTGAGCATTTATATCGTTGTGCCATGAGGTGGCAGGTGAGAGGGTATTACGTCTGCGGCTAGGTCCCCCGGCGTGGTGACGGCTTTTTTACATCACGGCGATGTGAGCTGCGCCACCTGGCTGCGTGGGCAGAATGCGTGATAGCACGCAAGAAAATCAATGCGTCTATTGATTGAGTTGGTGTCCGACACCCACGCCTCCAACAGTTCTCGCCCCGTCTTGTTGCCGGCTAACGCCAATATCCGCGTGTTGGCGAAGTCGAACTCATGGCCTTCCTCCAGCGTGTGACTGATAACTTGAGGTAATGGGTCGCCTCTCCGAACGGCGCGTTTGTGCGCAAGTATTCGTGAGCTGAGACGTCGTGTGGTGTGGCAAAGACAGTTATGCCACGGGATTTGATAAACTACGTCCGATTGATCAAGTGCGTCCAGTTGATCCTTCATTTTCATGATCCTGCTGCGCATGGTAGCCGCCGGATTATGGCCGATGCCCATGCCTAACTCAGACGAAATGCGTTGCGTAGCCTCGGACGCATTTTCTATGTACGGTAGGGAGTGTCAAATGGTTGGCGTCTCCCTTGCGTATGTCCGTAGTGAATCAATCTACTTGCAGCGGCTGATGAAACTATTTGGGTAGCCGGTCTTTATAATTGATCCATGAGATGTTGTAGTTCTTTCATTCTTCCTTCGAGTTTTCTACAGTGCGTTCTTACCTGGTTGAAAAGCGCTCTTAAACAGCCCCGTTTGTGCATCAATAGGTGGTTGTAATGATATATGAGGATCTAGGTTGTATTGGCCGCCTTTCTGCATGTTGTAATGCTGCGTTTACCATAGGGTCGTCTAGGAAGGGTAGTTCCTCAGCGTCCTCGTCTTTCTTTGTAAACTGGATGTGGAGATGATGTTGTTAAGCGTGTTTCGAAAAGCCAATAGTTTATTCTTTTTAATAATGACGAATGTATCTTTCACATATCGGCGTCCGAACGCAGGTTTGTGGTGGAACAAAGCAAATTTGTTCAGCTCTTGTAGGATCAATTCCCCAAATATGCTGGATATTGGAGAACCCATGGGCGTTTCTTTGATTTAGTCGTATGTTCTGCCATCGATTGTGAACGGTACGTCGGTAGAAGACAAAGAGATTCATAAGGTGCTTGATTCTTTATGGGCCCTGTAATTTGGTCGTACTTTTATTCGAGGCCTTTACGTATGACGTCGAGCGCCAAGTCTCATAGAAAATATGCATGTCAGTATCTATTCTTCTCCCCATTCAAAAGAAACTTAGGTCTTCTGTAAATTTTATTCTTTAAATACGGGTATAATTCGGGTTTATAAAGTTTCTATCTGTTAAACACAAGATCGAAAATTGTTTGTTTACATAAAGTCATGTCTCTGCGGCATAGTTTGAATTCACTGTTTAACTTTGTAAAACACATATTGTCGTCTCTTGGAAGCATGTAAAATGTATGATTTTCGGTACAGAGTAAATATACAGCCTTGACGCAAAACGTCTCTATGCAAGCTTGAAGGCAATCCGGGTTCAAAAATACTCAGAATTAAAAAAACGTTTTTTGAAGCAAATTATAGCCTTCCTTTAAGCATATAATTAACAGAAAACGTAATTTCTCTTCGAGTGAGTAAAGGAACGAATATTTGTCTGCAGGCCTTCATGAGGTAGATTAAACTTTACATGGGCGCCTAACCCAAATGCAAAAAGTGTCTGCAGTTGAAATGATCAATTTCTACATAGCAAAATTTTTTAGGGATGTCAGAAAAGAAGTCCGTTCAGAAACCGTTTGCCTAAAAACCTGATATAACTTGTAAGCATGCTGCGCGGTAATCAATATTACCACCATATTTACGTACTCTTTTCTAGTCAAAAATGCATTACAGATTGTCGTATAACATTTAATGCGCTAGCACATCATTTATAAAATTGCATAGAAATAGGGTTGAAAATCAATTAAACCATCTGCGCACGATTATTACCTAGTAGTCCAAGGGCGAGTGCAGAGAGGGCACACCCGAAGGCCCGTGATCTCTCCTTCGAATCCTTATATAATGTGGCCACCGTACCCATACCTGCAAAATAATGTGCGCCTCCGATATTTACGCAAATAACGTGGGCTAACCAAAATTAACAATTTTAAATTAATTAGTTTTTATTATGCCGAGTGCTTAATATTATAGGCGTCCAAATGTAAAAAGGGGTTGCATGTATCTTAAATTGTGCCATCAAGGCTTACATATCATCGTAAATGTTGCTCATGTGTATTTACCGCTGTAATGTGCACGGAAAAAATCGAAGTATATAGCGTATTATGCGTATTCAACGAAAATAATGACTTTGATGCGTTTAAAACGCAGGAAGCATCCCCATAATTAAAAACGAACATTACTTGACAAGCATAGTAAGGATGATATAGAGTCTTGACCTCAAAACAAACTCGAGTGATACGAAGTTCCGTCTAACGTGGAAGTCTCACCATAAAATCCGCAAATTGTTTGCCTTACGGGAACAAGGCAAAGCACATTAAATTGTCGACTTCTTGTGCGAGTGCAAACGCAGCTCTTTGTTCTGACCAGATGAGGTCTCGCGGGTATCCGTGTGCACTTAATCTTGAGGACAAGCAAACGTAGGTGGCCAAGCACTAGCAAAAATTCTGGCATATCAGTTAATTTGAATCTATCTGACTCCAGTTGATACAGAGTCAGTTGCGTCACCTTACAATCCTCCAGTTCTGTAAGAATTTATGCGGAATGAATCTTTCGCACTGACGTCAGACAACCATTCGAGAACCAGATTTTGACTGGGAATTGGGACAATAACGACGTGCCCCATGATACTGTCCTCAAACTGCTATTAAGTTGAGCTTTTCAAATTTTTTTTCACTGTTTGCCAGTACGTTCAGCATTTTGTGAAAAAAGAAGTCCTCTAACAGTATATCCGAAAAGAAAGGAATCTTATGTAGTGCAATTACGCCACACATGTTGAGACGCATATCGGGTCTTATAATATTTGCATTTGTGTCTCAATGCGTTGTATATATTGCATCATTAGGATGGCCTTAGCACATAGCGCTGCAGTTGTTCAATCTAATGGAATTTGTGTCAAATTCTATCTTAGCTGTAGCCTATTAAGTGTGATACTTTGACAACTGACATAAATTCAATTTTAGGTGGCTGCCAAAGACAAATGGTAAGGGAATCATTTTGCGTTGAAATGCTGTCGTCTGCCGCGATTGCTGATGAAGATAAAACAAGAGTTTGGCCCAAATATAACCCTGGCCACCATATCGCATCCCATGACCATAGACATCAATGATTATGAAATATCAACTACATCGACATTTCTCATTGCAGATGGGGGCTGAAGAAACATTAAACCGTGCAACCGGAAATCCAAGGATCTGCGATAATAGATGTTAGTTATTAGATATGGCAATTGTGTGTATAAATGCCGCATGCAAGCTTTTAAATTACACATAAATCAAGAACTAAATAAAAAGCATTACAAGAATGCTGAATTTTTACTCAGACATACCGGAGACAGTGGAAAAGGCGGAACCCACGCCTTGTATTGACCGAGCCAGTAGAAGGAGTAGGTAGCTCTCGGCAAAGGCAAACACTAAAAGGGAGCATCTTACAGCTAAGATAAACACATAAGACAACTCCAAAAGCAGAAGATGCGTTAAGGAACAAAAGGGAACTTACTTATCGTTGAGCCAAAAATTATGACGAGACCAATAAACATAGGAATAGAGTATCCGATCCTTTGGACAGAAAAATGAAAAAACATGCAACAGGTCGTTTAGGCTCTTGTCAGCAATTTCCAATAGCATGTAATTAACAAATTAAAGAAACCATGCGGTTGAGGCAATTAAAGACATGATGGTGTTTATCCGACAGAGAATAAATCGAGCCTTATTTGCCGAGATTGTTTCTTGACTGTTCGCACTGGTAGACCCTTACAGGAAGCAGTAAATATTCTCTTCAAACTTACCGTTGGTTTTGGAGACGTCATCCAGTTTGGTCCGAATAACTGTAACAGGCGTGATCCGGGTGTTTATAATGCGCGCCTAGACAACGTGGTCTTTTGCCAAAATGCACAAAACTTCCTCCTCTCTCAAACAATTCGATCGGTAGGATATGATCATAACGCAACCCGTCATAGTGCAATATCACAAGTCAGCATATTGGATAAGAAAGTAGGATTTCTGTAGGAGGTTGCGGAGACATGCAACTCAACGCCATCTTCTGGCAGATTTGAAAGGTTATACGACTATGCTGCATGATAATCCCTATTAGACCCCTTAAGGAAATCTTTCTAGTCGAAAAGCATTTCAGAACTTCAGCCAATGTTTTATGAGATCGGACACTCACTGCATGTTATCGGCACTTTATTGAAGTGGACAATTTGACGGCGTAATTAGCAAATTCAGTGACCGTTTTTCAGACTGTCTTTTGAAATCTGCGCTTGGACTTTAATAGCTCGCGGCTCACTATGTGGTCATCCTATAACGCGATGAAAGGACGCTTCCAGAAACCTTTGTTATTAATACTACTGCAATTAAGTAGGCATGAAACGCTTATGTAACGGCTGGTCAGGATCAAATTTTTCAGGAAAAGGTAAACTTGTTCATAACCTAAATATACCCTTTCTTTGAGTATAAAATGTGAAGAAAATGTGGTCTTTTACAAAACAAGTGGGAGGTTAGAAAGAAATGTATTCAAAAGGCAACATCCTGACGAGTCCGAAAGTCCATAGGATTATGCTACATGATAATGTTACAACGCCACCTTATAAATCCTTCGTAATCGAAAACTCAATTTGGGAATTTCGGCCAACATTTCATGAGACCGGTCATGCCCTGAACTTGGGAATTAGAAAAGCTTTCCAACGTTTAATACACATCTTTGTAAGGTATAAAATTCAACAAATACGCGATTTTCTACAAGAAGAGTAGATAGGGACATATTTTATTCATGTTATTTATAATATATGCATTCGAATTCATAAAAACATCCAAATCAATGTGACAAACGCATGCAACCTTAGTTGCCATTTTTATCGAGCGCGGTTCCTGCAGATGTCTGTATAGAAATGCATTTAAAGGCCAACTTCTGGGAGATCCAGAGGTTTATACGGCTATGCTCCTTCATAATCGATATTAGACCCTCACCTAAGTAATTCTTCCTAATAGAAACTGCATTTCAGAATTTCAGGCAATATTTCATGAGATCAGGCACTCAGTGTATGTTAGCGTCACTTTATCGAAGTGAAAATTCCGAGGGCGAAATTGGCAAATTCAGTGATCGTGTCCCAAACTGTCTTTTAAAATCTGCGCTTGTATTGTAGTAGTTCGCGGCCCACCATGCGGTCATCCTATAACGCGCTGAGAAGACGCTTACAGAGGCCGTTGCTACGAATACTAATGAATAGGCACCTTGCCACTGATGTGCTGATTTTGAGGGTAGCGAGCAACTCACTTATTGGTCAGCGGTCCGATCATCGGATTGACAATTAGCTGTACAAGTGGCTTCGAAGCAAACAGTATCCCCACTGCAAGATTTTCCTCGTCCATGCGCGCTTCTTGTACCACCGCAGCAATCTCTGTGGTATTCATGTTGCAGTCCTCAGCCAGGGTCTTTAGCTTTTGCAACGCTTGTACAACCTCGCGTCGCTCCTGCTCAGTGGCCGCTGTCAAATTGAGAAAATCACCTTCCGACAGAGTCGGCTGTGTAGATGAGGGGAGAGGAGTCAAGTACTTCATGGCGTCCAGCATAGGGTCGACTACGGGTGCTCCGGAGGTGCAATTGTTACCGCTGTGTTCCAACAATGATTTTACCGCAGTTTTAGTCTTGAATGTCATCAGGACATCAGGCACAATGGGAACTGTAGGAGAAGGGTGGATAAAAAATTAAAATCCTGATCCGCACATGAATATTCAGGTTAGCAACACTGAAAGATCCCGGTTGATAATTTAAACAAAAAGACCTAACCGCAACAGGCGGCCTATTAAAAATTTGATGTGCTTTATGGCCGTGGTTTCTCATTTTGCGGACATTTGTAATGAACAAAATAGGTTGTCGTTTAAGAGGCGCTCGTCAACACAAACTTGGATAAATGTCATCAATTGAAACCGTTTTTTGCCATTTGGTGTTAACAGTAAATGAATTTAATTGTCCTTTGCAGCAATGTCAGCACTGTACTGTTCTGACTCATATGACTACTTTATAACTTATTGGCTATCATATAGCAACAGCCACTGCAGGGCCTTTTTTATTTCCTTTCTTAGCACACATCGCCAGTTATTATACTTCAACTCATTTACCCTCCATAATAAATAACTCCAATCATATACCACACCTTTACGTTGTTTGAAGTTACATGAACATCGAAAATCAATAATAAAATCTATACTGACTGACAAAATAGTCGAGACATTTGGCTGGCCCAGTCGTATTTGACTGTTCAAAATAACTCTCATTGCTTCACCTCTGTAGTAGGTCGACCAGACTTCAAAATGCGTGTTTTAACATATATTTGGCTTTTATCTCTATACTGGCTGCAATCTACTCAGGATTTTTAAAGGACGTTTCGGCCGAACTCAAAAATCTGGTCCAGAAGAGGGGTCCTAGTAACGAAAGTATCGTACGAATTAAGTTACATTCGATGATATTTGTCTTCATAATGTTACCTATTTTAACTAATACTAACTAAGCTAGATAATAACAGATTTAAAAAAGTAGGGAGCGTTAGTCATTTTGTTTTGTTCAAAATATTGTTTGTGCAAGGAAGCCTTCAAAGCACAAACTGGTTGTAATCATACAAACTGTCGTTTACATATTAATAACAATACTGTGAGCTGATGATATTTGCATACAGTGAAAAATATCTACCATTTGCTTCAAGACAGTTCTCACAAATAGTTCTTAAGAAAACTTGGATATCTCTTCGCTATGCTCAAAATATATCCGTTAAATAAACAACTTATTCTAGGATTGCGTAATAGCAACATTTTCTTTGGCATTCCATCAGCATGCCGATTTTGTTTGCCTTGTCGGTGGTTTACCGCAGATATATAGTACCGCGACAGTGCCCTTATACTTGATATCGCAACAGTCACAGATCACACAGAGATTTAATGGCCAGTCTAAAACGAGTACAATTGCAATGGTGTCTTTCTGCGCTGAACGCTTCCTGCTTTTGACGGCTCTGCTCTTTCCCATGACTTGTGATTCAACACCAGCCACATTTGCGACAATGGCATTTATGCTGGCGATCGACTGTCCCTTGAGAGGGAATCTCGGTGGATCGGAAGCAGGTTGATCATGTGCGAAAAGAACTCGAATAACCCGAAAATAAATCCGCGCCCTCGATATTCTTTGGGAGATGAAACTGATTAGACAGTCGAAACGCGTTAACCATTAAGCTGTAGACTGGCTCAGGAGACAAACTCCCGTCCGCTCTGGACTTCTGGCCTAAGACGAAAATTTCCATCGGAGCACTACGTAAGCCGCGATATCATTGACCACGTACAATTAGTACACATTATTAACGTAAGTAGAACGCCGATTTAAGCCTATAACGCTTTCCAAGAAGTAATGTAGAAGCATATGTACCGCTGGGACATGAAGTCAGTTAGCTTGGCAGTACAGGTTCTCATTTGAACCTGACATGGGCGGCATGCGCAGATAAAGTAATTCAGACATAACGAGAACGAAATACATGGAACGCCGTTGCTAGGTAACCACATGCCTACAGTAATCAGTAGCACACGCGTTCACCATCGGGTGTGAAAAAGGAATTCATTGTTGAGTCCTTAAACTGTAGGTGTTAAACTGTCGTATTGAACTAGACAGACATCCCCAGCAAAGCCGAACTCTTATTTGCGAATTGTCAGTTCCATGTCGCATACAAATCTAACCGCATAAATCGCTGGCTTACGAATTGAATTGGAAATTGCTCGCAGTGCAGTTCTGAGATGTATTATAGCAATGAACGAGCAGATGACAGCATACTAAGTGGCCTCCTGGTGGGCCTGCTGTCGTAAAAAAATGCACAGGGACGACTCTTCTCTCCAACCCAACGCGTCACTTAAGGCACTTCAACTTACAAAAGCCAGACCGATATCTTTATTTTCTGATCGCAGTAAGCCTGCTAACACAATTCATGGAGAAGCTTAGAAAGATATGTCAATTTACAAGAGAAGACGAGTAAGACGATAAACTACCCTTACTGGACGTGCTCGTGACGCGCACACGTGACGGTGAACTTAGCACTACAGTATACAGAAAGGCGACCGATACAACCCAGGCCCTCAACTATCATAGCAACCACCCATTGGTGCAAAAACGGGGCTGTATGAGGGAGCTTTTCGACCAGGTAAGATCGCACTGTAGCAAGCCCGAAGGAAAGATGCAAGAAGTACGGCATCTCCGGGACCAATTAACAAACAACGGCTACCCAGAGAGTTTTATCAGTCGCTTCATACGCACGCACCCACGCCGGACAAACGGAAGAAAGGCACTAACAGCTTGGCACTCCCTACCGTACATAAAAAATGTGTCCGAGGCTACAGAACGCACTGCGTCAGAGTTAGGCGAGGACATCACCTATCATCCGGCGCCTACGATGCGTAGCATGATCATGAAAATGAAGGACCGGCTGGACGCAGGTGAGCAGTCGGGCCCAGTCTATCAAATCCTTTGTCATAGCTATCCTTGTTACTACACAGGCCAAACAAGACGACGTCTCAGCTCACAAATACTTGCGCCGAAACGGGTCGTTCTGAGAGACGATTCACTACCTCAAGTCACCACTTACACGCTGGAGGAAGGCCATGAGTTCGACTTCGCCAACACACGGATATTGACGTGAGCCGGCAACAAGACGGGGCGAGAACTGCTAGAGGGGTGGGTGTCGGACATCAACTCTGTCAACAGACACATCGATTTTCCTGCGTGTTATCACGCGCTCAGCCCACGCATCCAGGTGGCGCTGCTCACACCGTCGCGAATTACAAACGGCGTCACCACGCCAGGGGAACATCGTGGACCAGGCGGCACAAACCCTACCCAGCCACGGACGTACTCCCCCTCCCTCCCCGCAAGGACAAGCGATATAAATGATCACAATTTGCTGCACTGAAGTAGTCTCTGATGATGAACTGCAGTTCGAGTTCGAAAGCTCGGGCAAATAAATTTATTGTCCCAGTGATCGTGCCTTTGCCCTCTTTTAGATATGTCTCTAGTGAAATCATTTCATGACGTTCTTATGCCACGTAACCGGTGGCAAATATTCTTCAGGATTCGACAGTCGAGACCTTCCTTCAACTCCTGAGTTCCACCTCTAGACGCGCTACAGACTCGGCTGCGGACTAACAAGCAATCACCCCCTCAGATATGTACTATGGCGGTGGGCTCACGTGCTGTTAATTACTGTAGGCAAATGTTTGTGTGTCGGTATCATGCCATTAAAAACTGAGCCTACTGTCTTTTCATTACCCTTATCGTCGGCTGCATGTGAGGTAGATGTCGAGTAAGAATTCGAAACGTTACGCCGGTCTTTTTTTCACTGTACCTGAGACCGAAGTCTATTGCATTCTTCCCTCCGTCTAATAAGGATTGAGCTCATTGCACCTCCATCACACTTCTCGGCGACCGTCTCTGCTTATGAGTCTGCGGCAGTTCGCGTCTCCTCTCTCTTCGCCTTTTCCACGATGCCTTCCTGTCCGCCTCACACTCCTTGTCGATACGCTGCTGGGACGATCGTGACTTGTCACAAGCCTCGCGAGTGCTCCAGGTCAATCAACGCTGTCCCACCTCTGATTGGCTGGCGGACGCGGAGATACCGAAAGACGCACACACGCACTGGTTCTCAGCACCTCGAAGGCGGACACAGAAAACTTGCGTGGAGCGTGCTCGGGACGTCCGCCTACAGAGGCTGTCTGTACATACCTCCAACACAGTAAAAGTTGTCCAAATCACTCCGTTTTCCCTGATTTTTGATTGGGAGTCTTTGTCTTGTCGACCACATCACTTTCGACGCGTTCGCATGAAAATCCGAAAAGTCAATTTGAAAAACGTCTTTTTCCTGCGAGTGCATATTATTATGCACCGTTGTTGCATTCGAAATAAGCCAAACTGATGATACAGTTGGACGCAGTAACTGGTCTGACATAAGAATCTGCCTATCGTATTCCACAAATGTGCGCAACTTGCAATCAGTGACTAATCTCATAAACTGTTTTCTGCTGTTAGCTATTCGTTAATTAGACTGCAATCTTGGGCATCGTGAGTGACCATCCAATGATATTTCGGACGCGCCAGGATGTTGTTTTTTGGATGTAATCTGTTTAGTCCAAAATTAGTTAAAAATGACCACTGAGGACGTCTGCGTTGTCTCTGTTAATTTTCGATGCCATTGTAGATTTGAATGTACACGTTTTTTAAAATAGTAATGCCCGTGTTTTTCTGGTTGGAAATCACGTCCACTTTAAGGTGTCTAGTCGATAAAAGTGCATGTTTGGTTTGGAGAAATGTTTTACAATGCGCGAATGACTCTGACCTCGACCTTATTATGCGTTTTCGTCTAGGGTTTTAAATGAATATACTGCCTACTTTCCGCATAAAGAAAAATACACTCTCATGTATGTTAGCATTGAAAATGGTCTCAACAAACTCGGACTATTCAGTAAACACATTAAGGCACATTATTAAACATACTGATGTGATGTTATAAGATCTTACAAAATCACATAATTTGACACTTCTTCAAAAC